TGTGTTCAGGTCCCCCACTATTGTCGTAGTGTAGATGCTTCTGTCACTCTAGAATGGGCTTTGTAGAGAGAGGGCTTCTGTCACTCTAGAATGGGCTTCTTTTCTTTGGTCTCTGCTGGTGACTCTCCTTGTGTCAATGCACTCAAGTGGCTTGTGGGCCATCTGCCCAGTGGTTGTGGCATCTTGCTGCTTTTGCGGCAGCCGTGGTTATTGTGGTGGATGTGGTGAGCCACCCACGTGGAAGTGATGTTTTTGGCACGCTCCTTGCCTGATTGTGAGAGGAGGGGTTGGTTCCTGGCTCCATCTCTTTTTACATTCTAAGCTGTTGTTGCAGAGCAGTTGAGGGGAGAGGGGAAGGGGGAAGGAAATAGGGTGGGAGAAGGAAGAAGGGCAGGGGCATGGTTGAGGCCCAGGGCACCCCCCTCATTCCTGCAGGGGAGACCGGGGGACTTCCGGTGGTGGCATGGTCATTTCTGGGCTGAATGCAGATGTCAGGGGGGTGTGGCTGAAGCCCTCGGCCCGCACTGCCCCAATTCGGGAGCCTGAGGTGTTTCTTGTGGCAGCTCAATGGTCATTGCTGGGCTGGTTGCACATGTAGCGGGGGATGGCTGAGGCCCGAGGCTCCCCAGTTTGGGTGATATTTAAATGAGACATTAGAATTTAGGGTTGATGCTGGAATGAGTTAAGACTCTTGGGGCTGTTGGGGTGGAATGAATGTATTTTGTATGCAAGAAGACATGAATTTTGGGAGGCCAGGGGTGGAATGCTATGGACTGAATTGTGTCCCTCCAAAATTGATATGTTGAAGCCCTAACCCCCAATGTGACTGTATTTGGAGACAGGGCCATTAGTAGGTAGTTAAGGTTAAAAATGGTCATAAGGGTGGGACCCTCATCTGATAAGACTGTGGCCTTTTGAGAAGAGAAAGCTCTCTCTCTCTCTCCCCCCTCATCCCCCCTCCCACCGCCCACCACAGCAAGAAGGCCATCTGCAAGCCAGGAAGAAAGACCTCATCAGGAACCAAATTGGCTGGCACCCTGATCTTGAACTTCTCAGTCTCCAGAACTTTGAGAATAAATCTCTGTTGTTTAAGCCATCTTGTCCATGGTATTCTGTTATAGAAGCCTGAGCAAAGACAGGGAGGATGGTGGTGTGTCTGATGTCAGTCCCCTGAGACCTGTCTTGTTCCAAACATTCCTCAAATGTGCCCCAAACCTTTCCAGAGTGGGCAGTCATGTCTTGGCATTCAAAGTATCAGTAGGTGTTACCCCAACCCAATCTCCAGAAAGTGGAAATATTCCACTTGGTGCCACTCTGGAGTGTTTGTAAAACAAATCCTACAGAGTTGACTCTGTTTTTATTTGTTTTATTAGCATCAATATATACAAAGTGGAAAATGACTTAATTTCATTATTCTAGCTTAGAAAGTTTGTTTTGCATTTTATTCTGTTTGGCGATAAAAAGGAAATGAAAGTTTCCCTGGAGAAAGCCTACCTTTGGGGGCCCTAACAGCTCAATAATGTCTGAACTCAAATGACCCACCATGCCTAGTTGAAGACTTAGGAAGGTCATGCCCTGTGGATTTACCCCAAGGAAAGGTCACTTTTGTCTGAGGCTCATGGCTCAGTAAAGCTACCTGCATATTTGCCAAATGACATCCTTTTATACAACCATTCTGATTATGTAGCCACCTGGTTTCCTTCTGGGCTGCTTGGCAGTTTTCAAAGGTATCAGCCTGAGGTTCTATAGGCTCTCCAAGGAGTTAGCTTCAAAAGATCACAGTTAAAGGACAGCTATGGAACTAAGTAAAGATGGCCATCAGGTAGCAAACTGAATATTTATGTTAGCTAAATAATTCTACCAAAAAAAAAAAAAAAAGCTGAGCTTCAAGCTGAAGAGGGTTGTTGTATGCATTTTTAAAGCACAGGGTAGTAGCTGACAGATACAGCTTACATGAATTAGCATGTAATACACACTATCACATGCATTCTCCGAAGCTCAAAATCTCTGTAAACGTATTTCCCCACTGTTTTAAAAACAAAAAGTGGCTTGTAGGAAGGCTCCGTCTGTTCTCGAGTTTCTCAAGAGCGTATCCTGTTCAAAAATATTTAATCCCAATGTGTTTTAATATTGATCTTATAAAAACAGACATACATGAACTGAAATAAGATGCCTGGTACATTTTTGGCACTATTATTTTTTTTTTTTACCTTTACATATTACAAATACACATTCAGATATTTTAAAAAGAAAAATAGACACCAACCTGACTTTTCAACCACACTGTACATTGCCGGACTTGCATAATCCATCTCAAGGCTAAAACAAACTTCTAAAACACGGTTACAGGTACCGAACTACTAAGATGAAACTAAGACATTAATTTCCTGAAAAAAAAAAAAGAAAAATCAACACCTTTTCTATCCTTCCAATAGGCAATAAGAATACCTGGGCCATGGCCTGCCCAGTTTCAGGGAGCAGGGTTAGAATAAAGATTTTATATTTTGTCAGTCTTTACAAAAGGCAAACGTTTAGTTTTTACACAACCATAGTATGTTCTGAAATCAAATATCATTAATAGAGTTCTTCTTTCAAGATGACCCAGGCAGGGTTAGGGTTAGAGTAAGCATCAAATAGAAATAAAACCAAACATTTGTTGTCTTTCTCCAAGCATCATATTGTTCACTAATGGCCTGGAACCTTCCTCTCTGATTCTTTCATAAAATGGAGGTGGGCTCAGGTGTCTGGGAATAAGCCTTCTAGCTATTTCTTGCCGTGCACCACAAATGCAAGCCTTCAGGAGCACGTATGCAGGATTCTTGTCTGGCAGAAGGAAAATAATCCAGCCTCAGACCCCCAAGCTTGAGGTGCGAGCTCCTGGTGGGACGGGAGGATAAGTGTGCAAAAAGCCAACTTCCCTACCCTGCTCAAGACATTTCCAAAAGAACGACCCCCAAATAGGCTCTTAACCATTCTCCCTATGGCACGGTGGTCAGAAAGTTCTTTCTTTTTTGTTTGTTTGAAAACCAGCAGATTTAAAACAATTCCAAAGAGCATGAAAAGGGCACCAAGAGGGCTCCAAAAGCCACTGAGCCTGTGTAGCTGTCTGAGCCATCGGCCGTCACCACGTGGTCCCAGGGAGGTGACTCTGCCTCCCATGTACAATCCCTCCCACTCACCCTCACCTCTGCCTTTATACCTGTACAGTCATGAGTCATTTAACAATAGGGAAGCATCCTGGGAAATGTGTCATTAGGCAATTCTGTCATTGTGTGAACCTCACAGAGTATATACTTACTCCAACCTAGGCTGTACTTACTACACACCTAGGCTATATAGTACAGCTATTATAATCTTATGGGACCACCGTCATATATGTGATCCATGGTTGACCGAACGTCGTTATTTAGTGCATGACTGTATTTTAAAAAGAATCTTTCAAAGTACCACACACTCCTAGTCCCACTGGGTTGGGACAAAAGGACCCTGATAAAATACAAGGATACCCATATTATTAGATGTGGTGCTATGACTTCCTTTTTGACCTGAAATTCTTCCTCCTGTCCTCACTGATGTTCAGATTGGATGGTGCGGATTCTATTGTACGTTTTGCTGCGATTTTAAATCCCCTGCTCTTGTTCTTTGCACCTCCACTGTCAGCATTCAAAGCACCATCCGTCACCCAGACAGAGCTTCAGAGAATAAAAAAGTAGTTTCTTCTCATAGGACCCTCCCTCCCCCTGAAATACTGGATTGCAAGTATATTCTGAATTCTATTCTCTTTCAGAGAAACAGTGCACTAGAGTCTCTCCTATTTTGAGGGCTAAGACATTCCAGAACCCCAGGAGAAAAACAGAGCCTACCCGTGGATTCCAGATGGGACACCTCCTTCCTCCCAACACAAACCCTTATAACGATATGAGCAAAACTGCCCGTGGGTCCCGAGCCTAAGGATTTATTATCACAGCCTGAGGGTGGTCTGCTGAACAAGGTGATCAGTTCTGGCACTTGTAGCATAAATTACCTGCTCTTTCACCATTGAAGGAGTGTTGAAGAAAAGAACATTTTATTAACTCAATTCCCTTACCCAACATTCCCCCTCACCCAGTTCTTCATTGGAACTCTCAAATCTCTCATCTTCTCTGAAAAATTTCCTTTGTCATTTATCACCTCTTTAGAAAGAAAATATTTTCCTATTTTGTCAGCATCCAGGGAGGCCAGGGTGGTAAAAGACAATGATGTGATACCTTTGCTGCTTTCAGAAGGACCATGGAAAGGAGTGGATGTGGCAAGACCTTTTAGAAGCTGGTAAAATTGGAAGAGAGGACACAGAATTTATTTTGAAGCAGACCTCTAAAAATGGGCTTCAGTACCCATGCGAAATTCCAACCCAAGTTAATCCAACAAGAGATCCTTTCCAACCTAATCTTGGGACTTAGATTTTGTACTAAAAACGCCATGGGCATGGATCCTGAAGATGCATGCAATTTGAGGCAGCCTTAGCATAGCATTGCTGGTGGGAGAAGCCAATCTGGGGTGTGTGTGTGTGCGCGCGTGTGTGCGTGCATGTGTGTGTGTGTTGCTGTCTGCCATTTTGCAAATCTTCCACCTGCCTTCAGATATGAGGATGTCACATGAATTTGGCTGCAGCCACAATACATCAAACCACACCTATTTCAATTTTAAATATAATAAATACAGTGAAGAAAACAGTAAATCTTCAATAAAGAGTCTAAAGAAAAGACAGCTGACACTCTGGGGTTTCCATCAAATGCCACATGGCCTCTGGATGAATGTCTCGAGGAGGTTGTCGTTGAGTTCATATCCGTAAGTTCCCTTCTCAAGTGTAGCTCTCGTTAGATGGAAACCTCATACTCTCTGGTTTCCTGCGAGAGAAAATAACAGATCTGTTAACACCTGTGTGCTAGCATGATACACTGATGGTTCTAGTTCTTATACCTATGATGGTTAATTGGTTAACCTGTCTAGAATAAGGAATACCTAGAAACCTGTCAAAACATTACTTTTGGGTGCGTCTGTGAGTGTTTCCAGAGGAGATTATCATGACAGCTTGAGTGGACTGGGTGGGAAAAGATCCACCCTCAATATGGGTGGGCACCATCTGGTCTGCTGGAGGCCCAGAGAGAACAAAAACAGAGGAAAAGTGAATCTCTCTCTCTGTCCTCTAGAGCTGGGATACGCTCTTCTCTTCTGTTTGTGGACATCAGAACTCCAGGATCTTTGGCTTCTGGGTTCCAGGACTTACACCAGTGGCATCTCCAGCTCTCTAGACGTTGGCCTTGTACTGATAATGACAGCGTCAGCTTCCCTGGTTCTGAGGCTGCCGGATTTGGACTGAGCCATGCTTCTGGCATCCCAGAGTCTCCAGCTTGCAGATGGCCTACCACAGGACTTCTCAGCATTCATAATCACGTGAGTCAGTTTCCCTAATAAATCCCCTCTCATATATCTATAGCTATATCCTAATGGTTCTGTCTCTCTGGAGAACCCTGACTAATAGAACTCCTCCCTGTGTCTAGGCCCTTGGCCACGTTACACTCTGACCCTGTCTTGCTTTTGCCAATGGGTTATAAAAAAAAATGGCACACAGCAGGTGCTTAAAAAGTGCTTGTGTGCTTCTGCTTGTGTCCTGCCCTTCTGCCATCACCATGAGCAGGGCATGATGTCCCCACAGGAGGATGAAGGACACAGAAAGCCAGGCTGAGGCACCTAGTCAGCAATGAGCCAGGATGACCCTTCAGCTGAAACTAGCTTACTGCCCCACAGACTGATTAGCAAATTAATGTTTCTTACTCTAAGCCACTGAGTTTTGGGATTGTTTGTTACTCATCAGCATTATTATAGCTCTAGGTTATTGATATACTCTACTAATAAGTATTAATAAAGTCTATTCTCTAAAATGCTGTTTTTCACCAGCCTGACCTCTTCTCAGGATTTGGAAGTAAGTTCGATAGAATGCAAAGTAACATATGCCCTGTTCTTGGCAGTGCCCTTTAAAATGACTACAGCATTTTGGTAGCAACCAGTTTGATTTCTCCAATAGTGATGGAGTGTGCATAATGTATTCCAGGCCCCAGGGGCAAGGAGCAGGGAGATATAAGAAGTCATAGGCTCAGCCCTGGAAGTGGTCACTGTCACATGCATCAGTGGAAGTCTCCAGTTCCTGCTGGACCAACACAGGTATGCAACAATGTCTACGCTTCATGGTAGATGGGAGTGTGGTGGCAGACTCCAAGGGGGACCTCATGACTGCCACCTCCCGGCATTCATGCCCTTGTGTAGTCCCCTCCCCTTAAGGGTGGGGAGGACCTGTGAACTGCTTCTAACCAACAGAACGTGAAGGTGCCAGGATATCACTTCTGTGTTTATGGCACACAGGATTGTGACTTCCATCTTGTGACTCTCCCCCTGTCTTGCTGGCTTTGAAGAAGCAAGCATGGAAAGAAATTGAGGGTGACCTCTAGAGAACAGTCTTCAAGAAATTGAGGCCCTCAGTCCAACAGCCTGTAAGGAACTGAATGCTGTCAACAACTACATAAGTTTGG